ATTAAAAATAAAATAGTCATAAATTAGTATAAACCTTCCCTCTTCATTGAAAAAAATTGTTTAACCATAAAATAAAAGGCCCCACTTAATAGTATAGGTTATGTCAGGGATAAATTCTACTATTCACTTCACTGTTAATCTGAAAATCATATATTATCAATGAGTTAGATCGGAAGAGGTTATTTATTCTAATGCCCCCTATGAATACTATAGGTTTGGCAGTTATGGGACCATAGCGTGGAAAAAGGCGCGCCATTCAACGAACAAAACGGGCCGGTTCCCTTCCAACGGACTCTCTTCCTCTGTATCTCTCTCTCACTCGAAGCCCTATTCGCCTGCATATTCTTTCTCCGACTGTTGTGTGGGTGTCAATTTTTTTCCTTTTAAATCCGTTTGTTGCCCCCTTACAAATTACATTGTTTGTTTATAAATCCCGTGAGACACGCAAAAGTCACATTGTCACCACCTCCCCCATCTCCTCACCCCTCTCTCTCTCTCTCTCTCTCTCTAAGATCGGAGTTCTGTTAATTTTGCAATGGCTACTGCTACATTGAGCCCGGCCGATACCGAGAAGCTCTCGAAGCTCAAATCTGCGGCTGGTAGTCTCAATCAAATCAGGCACGTGTTGATGATTCTAATTCTCTTCATTTTTGACGTTTTTGCTTTGCTTTGGTTCCCTATGCTACCTTTTGGTGCACCTTTATGCATTGGATCACGGATCTGAATGTCACTGCATATAAGTTTATTTTTGTTTTGGTCTTGTGATTTGCAGTGAGAATGAGAAATCTGGATTCATTAACCTCGTCTCTCGCTATCTCAGGTACAGTGAATTTCGGTATTTAACGATTCGTCTTCTAGTTTCTGTAACTTAGTTTACTTTGTTAAGAATTTTTGAACGTTCAAATTATTTTTGTACTCTATACTGATACACATGGATCTGTTTTTTGAGTAATTTTTTCTTCCTTGGCTATTAAACTAAATACTTTTTTCTTCTTTTAGATTAGTTCTCTGAAGAGAAGTTTGGTGTCCTGGATTTTTGAAAAATCTGTATTACCAATAATTTGTGTGCAAAGAATTAATTTATTAGGAAACAAGCAATTAGATAAATTGAAATCTGTTTTGTCAAGAAATGTTTGTTTTTTTGTGGCATTCTGAATCACAGTGGCGAAGCGCAACACATTGAGTGGAGTAAGATCCAGACTCCTACTGATAAGGTGGTAATACCTTATGACAACTTAGCAACCGTGCCAGAAGGTAATTATCTGGATTTGTTTGGTTCTTTCTAGTGGATTTGGACATTGAAAAGATGCGCGTCTCAGATTTTTGATTAATTATGTAATGTTGACAACTTGATTCTGCTGTTTTCGTTGCTAAGAAGGTTGTTTTTACCTGAATGGGTGCAGATCCTGTGGAAACCAAAAAGCTTTTGGACAAACTTGTGGTGTTAAAGCTTAACGGAGGCTTGGGCACAACAATGGGGTGTACTGGCCCAAAGTATGCACTAGTTTTTCGTGCTTCGATAGAATGTCCAAATTATGGGCTTGCTTGTTTTTGAATGTTGTTTTTTTATCTGTGTCATGTAATAATCGAGATGTAGAAGCATGCCATCTGATTTTATCTTAGCTTGGTTGGGGAAGGATCTTAATTGATTCACATGACTTCCTAATTGTACACTTGTTGGTAGTGTTTCTAAGCATTTTACTGTTGGTAAAATTAATTGTCAGTCTTGGTAATTTGAGAAACCACTATTTGGACTGGAAACTTTGTTGTATGTACTCGACAACAAGAGTCTATATATATACTTTGCTGTACGTACTATCACAAATTCACCCTTGAGTTTCAATGCAGTTTTGCTTTTAGGCCCCTACTCATTATATTAGAGTGGAAATGCAATGCATTTTTAATATGTTTTCTAGTTGAAATAAAATAATCAACTTGTATCTGATTAATCAATGTTTTTTGTAGTGCACAATCAAGTGGAATTTTCCATTGAAGTCAGGGTTTTTTATTTATGCATATTCATCTGTGAACTGCCTATTGTACTAATTCATCAGTCCTGATGCCGGGAACCACAGTTATATGTGTATGACCTGCAGTTTTTAACATTTGGTTCTCTTTTATTCTTTCCTTTAGCATTTATCACATTGTGCTGTAGGTCTGTTATTGAAGTTCGTGATGGTTTGACATTTCTTGACTTGATTGTCATCCAAATTGAGGTGAGCTATTTCGTACGTGAATTACAATGATTTTATGTTAGGGTTTTAGTTGAACCATCGTTGCTTGCAACTGACATTCGAGTTATATGTAGACACTCAATTCCAAGTATGGATGCAATGTGCCGCTGCTTCTAATGAACTCATTCAACACTCACGAGGATACACAGAAGGTGAGTACTATGAGGATAACTTTCTTATTTTTTTTTTTCCATTTAGAAAAGTCATTTTTTGTTTAAATCTGGTAGAATACTAATCAGCTGAGTTTGTGTTAAATGTAGATTGTAGAAAAGTACTCCAAGTCAAACATTCAGATTCATACGTTTAATCAGGTCTGCACATCTCATGTCTGATTACTATCCAATTCCCGTCTTCCTGGAAACATTTCAGTTCCTGTATGTTGTTATTTCTTTTTACTTGTTTGGTTTACAATTTTAATTCCTGTATGTTGCCTTTCAATGTTTGCAGAGCCAGTATCCTCGCCTGGTTGCTGAAGATTTTATCCCCCTGCCGTGCAAGGGAAATTCTGGCAAGGATGGATGGTAGTTATATAATATGAAGTAGATAGTATGCTAAATCCGTGGTTTTAGTAGCATGTGACTTGAATTTCCTATTCCAAAGGCAAATTACATGAAAATTATCAAACAGAGTTCTCAATGAATGAGTTGATTGACTGAGAAAACCTTTCGCCTGTGCATGAGATTTTGGTCAATGGTGTTTAATTGTTCTGTCTCATATTTAATTAAGTATTTTTTGCACGTTCAGGTATCCCCCTGGCCATGGTGATGTTTTCCCATCATTGATGAACAGTGGGAAGCTTGATTCATTGTTGTCACAGGTTTTGCTATATGCCAAGTTTATTGTTACTCGGATTTTGATTTGTGATTTGTGTATATTATGATGGCATAATCTGTACGATGGTTCATCAATTTGTTAATTCCTTCCGTTCATGCTTTCGCAGGGCAAGGAATTTGTCTTTGTTGCCAATTCAGATAACTTGGGTGCTGTTGTTGATTTGAGTATCCTTTCTGTGGTTCTTTTTGGCAACTGAAAGCTGCCTTTTAATTGCATATTTCTTTGTTAGTAACCCTATAATTTGCCCAGTTGCGTTCCTTAATTCATTGTCACAGAAATTTTGAATCATCTAATACAAAACAAGAATGAATACTCTATGGAGGTAGTCATAAGAGAGATTTTAAATTCTGCTTCTCCCACAGTAAAACTATTGCTATAACTTCAGTGCTCCTTGCTCTTGCAGGTCACTCCCAAAACTTTGGCTGATGTGAAGGGTGGCACCCTAATTTCTTATGAAGGAAAAGTTCAGGTGTGTTTATTTGTCACTGTTCGAGCGTATTGTTTGAACACTTAGTTGTATTTGGATCAGGTAGGAGAGTTCATGAACACTGCATGCATGTGATTGCCTACTAAGCCTCTTGTATGTGATTAATTTCTTAGTTTGATATAGACTACTTGATTGTGATCAAATATAGACATTTTGCTGTTTAATTTGTTTGATTTGATTTTCACAGTTTCCATTCCAATACATTTTATGAAAATAATTTTCACATATCGCTTCAAGGTATTTAGCATGAGGGATACATTGTAACACGTTATATGCTTTGTTTGTTTTGACTGGAGGTTCTGGTAAAAACTTTGTGACGTTATTTGATCGCTTTTTGGGATTACTATTGTAAAAAATGAAGGCATGTTAATAGTTGGATGGTGTTGCAATAACATGCAAATTATCCTAATGGACAAGGGTTCTGCAAATGTTTTGGAAAATGTTGACATCCATTTTCCTTCACGTCCATCAAATAGAAAGGACATTACCAGTTTGGTACTAGTTATCTTCTCTCACCAAATACCTTCTTGAAGTTGTCATGTACCGGTTATTTCTAGCATGAGATAATATCAGATTATAAGACTAATAATCCATTTCCTTTGTGGTTCCACTTATGATTTACCCATTTTTTGCTTTGAACAAATGTCAGACATAGTGTACAGAATTATTCGATGTAGTTGAATTTCTTTGGTGTTGCCTTCCTTTTTCTTTTCTTCTCTTTTTTATCTACACAATGGTGTTTTGCCAAACATTCTGCAGCCTGGAAAGTAACCAGAATGATTATAAACAAGTTGTCTGTGTCTATGTTTCAAGTTATTGATGGAACTTTTCTGCCTTTGTCTGCTGCAGCTCCTGGAGATTGCTCAAGTTCCTGATGAACACGTGAGTTCTAGTTCTATTCATTTCTTTCCTTTTGCTTGTCATTGTTTGCTACTCTATATGCAGTTATAATTATCAGTTTAAGTTGAGTATTTTAGATGGTTTTAAAACAAGGTTTTCTCATATTTTGCTTTTTCCTGGGAAGTTTTGGTATAGTTATCATTATGAAAAAAAAATGCAGTAACTGCACATAGTGATTGATGCAAGGATGACATCTACTTCTGAAAGCTGGAAGGGAGAGAATATAATGTTACAACCGTAAAATTCTTGAGACTTTGCAAGAGAGGTAGGCATGACTTGTGGTGATATAAGTAAAACGAGCGTCGATTGAGCTTTATGAGAACCTTGGAGTACACTTTTCCATTCAATAACTAGGATTTTGAATTAGTTTAAAAAATTAGAACTGAATTAGTGGTGAAAAGCTTTTCTTCCTTCGAGGTGATGTTGCCTATGTAGGTCTGTCGTGAAGAGTGAAGACCTTATTCGGAGGGATTGAAGGAGAGGTAGCATATGGACAAGATCTTGATAACCCTCATCCAGAATGGAGTGATTGTTATTTTTTTAGCCCACTTCTTGAATACATTATGCGTCATTCCTCCCTTAACATTTGCTGGAAATCAAAATAAACATTTCTGGTACCTGCTATTGAACACCTATGCATGGAATTGTACAGCCCTATGGGTTGCATCATATGCCTAATGTGGTCATCTGCGACATTGTAGTGCAATTCTAGTTGGAATTCCTTTGGCAAGTTTATGGCTGACATATGAGCTCTTTGTTCCATGCAGGTCAATGAATTCAAGTCAATAGAGAAGTTCAAAATTTTCAATACAAACAATTTGTAAGTCGTGCCTTTTTGTGTGTAAACTTGTGCTTGAATTCTAAGAGAAGTTCAAAGCTCAGAATACAGACTTCTTAGTCCTGCTTTTGTATCTAAACATGTGGTGGTTAAATACTCACATAGTTCCATGCCAGGTGGGTGAGCTTGAAGGCAATCAAAAGACTTGTTCAAGCAGATGCACTCAAGATGGAGATAATTCCTAACCCAAAGGTATTCATTTGTTCCTTTGTTGACCTGCACACGAACAAGCAAACCTTTTGTTGAAAATGCCTGATGAAGTTAACCTGATTCACAGGAAGTGGATGGAATTAAAGTTCTCCAGCTAGAAACAGCAGCTGGTGCTGCAATAAGGGTGTGAATCATCATCCATCATTGTTACTTCCCTTTTGAATGTAGTTATTTGATGGTCTTTTATGCCATCTCTTTTCTCATCTCCTCTTTGGTTAATAATGCTGTTGTTTTTCAAAATTATGCTGATTGCGATCTTTTGTGACCAGTTCTTTGATCATGCTATTGGTACAAATGTTCCTCGATCGCGATTCCTTCCGGTAAAAGCAACTTCAGATTTGCTTCTTGTCCAGGTAAACCTTTTCTTGGGCATTCTGCTTATTTATTTTTATTTTTTATTTTTTTCTACACGATAAATTTGCAGTTGCTTAACCCTTCTGTTTGATCCTTTCCAGTCTGATCTTTACACCTCATCTGATGGCTTTGTTATCCGCAATGAAGCTAGGGCAAACCCTGCTAACCCTTCTATTGAATTGGGACCAGAATTTAAAAAGGTTAAAATTTGTTTCAGCGAATAGGCACTGTAGACGGGCATAGCTTTTAATTCATGCTGCTGATTGTATAACGGTTCATTTTGGCAGGTTGGCAATTTCCTAGGCCGTTTCAAGTCTATCCCCAGTATCCTGGAGCTTGATAGCCTGAAGGTGACCGGTGACGTATGGTTTGGGTCTGGCATCACTCTCAAGGTATTGAACATTTTCCTGTTGCATTTTTTTTATTCTCTTAGCTGTGCCTGCAAAGGTCTGCCCTATTGATTGGCCTTGGCTGTGCCTGCTGAGTTCTTTGCTATTGATCAGTCTTAGCAGTGCTTGCTGAGGACTGTGCTATTGATCAACTTCAATAACTTGGCTCATGTTCTTGATATTTTTTCGCTTGGACATTATATAGTTTTATTAACATGCATTCATACATTGTTACTGATGATACCTGTAATGCCTCGTAGTTGATGATGCTGCTCGTAATATCTTACTTGTGCTTTTTCTCCCTCACTTTTTCTGGTATTGCTGTTATCTTTCAGGGGAAAGTGACCGTAGCTGCAAAACCTGGAGTCAAGTTAGAAATCCCTGATGGAGCTGTACTTGAAAACAAGGTAATTTACAGGAACAACCTACATTTTTCGATTTCTTATAACTTAGCATCAAAATTCTCTGGCTTACTTTGCTATACTGATGTCCAGGAAATCCATGGCCCAGAAGATATTTAAGAAGGTCATTTCTCTTGGAAAAGTTGTGGAGGTTTCTCTCAAATTTCACGCTTCTTTTCCAAAATATTTTTGGAGGATTTGGTTTAAGAGTTATCGAGTATAAATAATAATTTTGGTAAAGTCGATCATCTAAATGGAGTGGTGGCTCTCGAGTATATCTCGATGCCATGTCTTAATCTCTGGAGAAAATAGGCATTTTTCAAGTGTTGATTTACTTTCCATTGATTTATGTATAGAACAATGGTATATCTTTTTGGTTTATTGTTTACCAATTTTGTTTTGCTGCGAATAATGATCGTTGGTTATAAATTATATAAATATTCAAAAATATATGTACAAGTGTATTATGCATCCTTAAATATGAATATGACTATACCGAGAGATAAAAAGAGCTGAATTGGAGAGTCCATCAACTTTGTGTTCTTAGACACAGCTCTAAGGCACCTGCATCGTATTCTAGCCATGTTACATTGATACATGGGCTTCTGTATATCACTACATATGTTGGATCTAAATTATGGGTTTGATTCCTTTGTCATTTTGTCTTCACGGTAACCACCACCACCCCTGCCGCCACTACTGTAGCCGCCCTTTCCGCCACTGCCATAGCTGCCCTTTCGATTCTTTTTGGCTCAGTTCGGGTTTGACTCATTTTTTAAACGAGTCAAGCTTGAATAATTTTTTAAACTCGTTTATAAAAATGAGCTCAATAAGCTCAATTGAGCTCGCAAAGTTTGGCTCGATTATCAACCACCACAAAAATGAACAAAATTAAATAACTTTGAAACAATTTTTTTGATTAATAGAAATATAGAAGTAAAAACAAAAAATTACATATGTGAGGTTAACGGTTAACTTAATGATTATGACTCCGCAATTAGACATTAAATTTATGGATTTGATGTTGATCTTCCACCTCTTTATAATAATTAATAATGTCTGAAAAAAATACAGAAGTAAAAAGAAGAGTGTTTTTTTATCCTTGCAAGGTTTTGCACACACATACCAAAAATAAATATGGCATCGTCATCATCAACCCAAATATAAGAAATCAGTAGAACATCTACATACATCCATTTAGAAGAACCTCCAAATGAATTATCAAATAGTTCAGATCCATTCAAAAAAGACAATAACCATTCAAAAAAAGTCAAAAATCATAAGAATTGAATTAAATATCTTAGACCTAATTTTTTTTTTTAATGGTTCTCAGACCTAATTCAAAAAAGCCAAAAAAACCCTAATTTGGCAAGGAGAGAGAGCAGCTTTGCCTGTGCGAGAGTGTATGTCATTGTGTGAGTGGTGAGTGTGAGTGTCGTTTTGTGAGAGGTAGTGAGTGTATGTGGTAGGGTGAAGAGATTGGAGGAAAGAAGACAAAATTGGTAAGGAAAGAGACAGAGCGACCGAAGGAAAACATACCTAGTGGTTTCTCATATATATACTCCCAGGCCCTAACTTACTCTTCCTTTTCTTTTCTTAAGCAACTCAATCGGATTAGCGAAGAACAAACTTAATTTGTGATTACATATAATTAACAGTACTCTCTCCCCTCTCTTTTCCTCTTTTGTCATTTGTAATGTTCTGAAGTCACCAATCAAATATAGCAACAAAGTAATATTTGTATAGTACATGGAAATGTTTTAATGTGGGTCATTGGAACTGTTTTAACATTATTCTCTACGATCCACTCAGTTGATGAGATCATGGCTTGAATTATATTGGACAATTTTCTCCGATGTCAATTGTGATGAAAGAGGACTTAATGATCTTGTGTTGTTACATGGATTCTTCTACATACATCTCATGAATGCATTAATAATTTCATAATTACATGAATCTCGTGTTGGGCATGGGGTTGGGGTTGGGGTTGGGCTTGGGCGGGTATGGGGAAAGCGAGGATTGGGACGGGAATTAAAAATTTATTCGTGGACAGGGATGAGGATGATAATTATACCCGTTAACGGGGGTGGATAAGGGATGAACGGAGTATTTTTAAGCAGTCACGAGAATGAAGAGTACACCTCCCACCCCCGCTTCGATCCACTAACATTCCTACCCCTCCCCCAACCAAAAAAAAAATTGTATGGAGTGTATATATGCCCAATGTATATAATATTGGTTATGAACGGTCCATAATAATTAAAAAAAAATTATTTTTAATTTTTTTATGTGACGGCATCGTTGCCGTGATAAATATATCTTTTATTTTTTACAAAAGCCAAATATAATATTTGAGGCAGCACTTTTGTCGCCGTAATAAAAACAAAAGTGTCGGATTTTTTGTGACAACTTATTTACAACAGAATCTTGCTGCCGTAAATACTATTTGAGACAGATCGTTATTGTCGTAAAAATCTTTTGAGACCACACTTATTATGACGAGGCAATGCCGTCACAAAAAATATTTGTGATAGTAAATAGATTTTTTATGACAACACTTTATCGCCGTAAAAATCTTTTTTTTTTCTTGTAGTGTAACAAGGTCGTAGAAATTGTGTGCCTTTGAACTTGAAATGGCACTATTACATCATTTTATCAAATTTCATTTTATGCAGGAGTGGGGCCAAGATTTCACTTAAGAAAGGGACCCACTAGCAGGGGCGGATTAAGCTGTCCCCACTGCAAATCTGAAAACTTTCGTGGTGTTGATTTGAAAATATTGCCCCCGCTGAAAAGTTTTTAAAAGGCTTAAGGGAAATTTTATAATTCTGATAAAACTTGGAATTCTTTTATACATTGTAGAGTTAGGTTTACAAAACATGTCCCTACTTTTTCTTTTAGCTGTTTGTTCGTCTTTTCGTGATGTGGGCTGACAGTGAGAACTTCAATCTCACTTGTCCCTTTCTTCTTTATCAATACGCATTCCATCATAATAGAGCCATGGGAGGTAACCTGTAAACGAATCGATTTATAATTTTTTTTAATTTTTTAGCACAGTAATTAGGGTATCTATTATTCTTACCCATTCGACTTTTTTTTTTAACAATAGACCATTGAATTCCATTATTTGGGTGTGAACTGAATGACAACGATTCCATTAATTTTTTTATCGATCTGTATAAAAATATTATTTGAAATTATTGGTGGAGGGAGAAGTAACAAAGTTCGGTTGTGTAAAATAGGTTTATTGATATGATGCTGTAGTCATGCGTTGATAAATTACAGATCCAATTAACCCTATTTTTTAAGATACTTCAACTTGTGGAACTAAAATTATTTAAATTTTTTTATATTTAATTGGGTTGCATTTTTTGAAATTTGCCTAATTTAGTTTGTGTCCAATTGTTTCGATTAATTGAAATTAAATAATTTGGTTATAAATTATGATAGATTCAAGATCTAATTTTGGTTGAAAGACTTGTGATAGATTTAATTTTTTTTGAAAATTTTCCTATTAATTTTTTTTTGATTTAATGAGTTTGAAAATTCATAGGAGTACATTATATAAAAACTGTTGCATATTGTTTGTGTTGCTATCTAATTGTAATTATAAACAAATATTGTTGAAATTAATTTTAATCTTATAATTGCAAGTTATAAATAAATTTTATATTGTCCCCACGGGAGAAAGAGTCTGGTTCCGCCCCTGCCCACTAGTGAATATTCTCACAACTTTTATATGGTTTGTGGATTAATCCGCACACAGGCACAAGCACATTACGATAGTAAAACAGCAGGCATTCAAAGACTTGAAATAATTGTGAGTAAAAGGAGATACTCAAATTAAGAGTAAAATCCCGTATATATAGGCAAAATATAAAAATCATAGTAAGGGTAAAAAAGGGAAAAGAAATCCTAAAGGGAAAAGAAATCCTAATAAACCTAGGAAAGAGAAATCCTAATAAACCTAGACTATCTATACTCCAACACTCCCCCTCAAGCTAGGTGCAAAAATGTCAACTAAGCCAAGCTTGACAACGGAGTCCCGAAGAATAGACAGAGTCCCCACAAACGATGGAGTAACAAGACCACTGCTGACCTTCTCCCGAAGAAAGTGAACATCGATCTCTATATGCTTCGTTCTCTCATGTAGTACAGAGTCAGAAGCGAGCTGAATAGCAGATTGATTATCTCTTACTCTTCCAAGAGATAAGATGAGTCCCTCGAAAAGCACAGAAACCCGTAATAGATCGACCATCACATGCTCCCCCATAATCTGAATCTGAATAACAGGCTAGAGAACCGGTCTGAGATCCTTCACATCGAAGGCCTTCCCAAGGTCTATTTTGACCTGCGCAGTCCCAGAAACATCATCACCAGTAATAATAATATCATCAACATATACCAGAAGGATGACACACTGTCCAGAAGTATTCCGTCGAATAAAGCAGGTATGATCAGAATGACACCTGGTGAACAACTTTGGCGCATGAAAAACCGAATGTAATATAAGGCCATCTGGGAGACGGACTGTACCCCTACTAACAATAGGGGCATGTGTTCCATCTGCTAACTGAACCTGTAGTGGTGACAGCAGCAGTAGTCAGACTCTGAGAAGTCAGAGCAGACATAAGTATATCTAATCGGGAAGTGATAGCATCCATATCACTTTGCCAAGGAGGAGCAGTAGCAGGAGTGGCGGCAGTGGGCGGTGGTACCTCAACAATAGCAACAGTACGGCTGCGAGAAAGCTCATAAACACGAACTCCCCGTCCTGACTGAGAATACATCTCTGATAATGCGCTCCATAGCTTCGGAACAGAGCTATGAAACTGGTGGATCTTGCAAACAGAGGGCTCCATTGAGCCAAATAACCATCCAAGAATGGCACAGTTTTCAGAGAACCATGCAGAATATCCAGGGTCGGCATCAGCTGGCTTTGGGTGAGATCCCGTCAGCCAACCAAGCTTCCTTACACGGCCTAAGAAAAGCTGGAATGAGCGTGACCACTCAGCGAAGTTACGACCATTCAACAATTGTGCCGTAACTTTTTGAGAGATCATGCCCGGTAATGCTGGTAATGCAACTAGACCTGTTGAGATCTCGTTCGAAGAACCTAGATTATATTAAAATCTAGACCCATCTGAAGAACCCAAATTACAAGCAAGAACGCCACAAAGGATGTGATTTACCTTTGATAAATTCAAAAGTTCAATCAAGAACAAGAGGAGTAAACTCAACTCAATTCACAATCAAAATTCATTATAGATTGTCTCAACGGTAGAGGTGTCAACAGTAGGGTTCTCAAATCCCTCAGTAGTAGTCATATCAACAACAATACTGGGGCACCCGTGACAGAAAAATAACTCTAAGATAAATAGAGGAATAAAATAAGGGAGAACAATATACCTTCAGTCGAACAGTAGCGACAAATAGGAAAGGTCCAAAAAGCTCCCAAATAACTCTAAAATAGAGGAATAAAATAAGGGAGAACAATATACCTTCAGTCGAACAGTAGCGACAAATAGGGAAGGTCCAAAAAGCTCCCAAATAATCAAGTCACGGTGCCCAGAAATCCAAAATATATAAATAAGTGATCTACTGCATCAAGGGCAGATCAACAGAAAAGAGGATCCGCTCCCTCCCAAAAAAGTCCTAGAATAAAATCACAACGAAAGTTGTGACCCAGCAGTGGGCTGGTTTAGCATATGGTTATGGGCTGGTTTGGCATATGGTTATGGACTGGCATAAGGATAGGCAGTCAGTGTATGGACTGGTATGAGGATGGGCAGTCGGTGGAAGACTGTTTGTTGCCTGGGCAGCTGATGGCCAGGGTGGTTTCGGCGGTATGGCTGGTAGAGCCATACACTAATCCTACCCCAAACCCTAACCTTGCTCTGATACCAACTTGAAATAATTGTGAGTAAAAGGAGATACTCAAATTAAGAGTAAAACCCCGTATATATAGGCAAAATATAAAAATCATAGTAAGGGTAAAAAAGGGAAAAGAAATCCTAAAGGGAAAAGAAATCCTAATAAACCTAGGAAAGAGAAATCCTAATAAACCTAGACTATCTATACTCCAACACAAAGAAATGTGTATGTTATAACCATTTGCACTTTGGGGTTTAGACTTATTAGTAAATGGTGGGTCTCAGGTGTATTAACGTTAAATGATTTACCATCGAGTAAAATAAAGTAAAAGTACAATAAAGAGGATCTTGATCTACTCAAATACTTTTATTCTTCCACTTTTTTTTTTTGGATAAATTATCGATTATTAATGAGTGATGGATCCACTAATATATTGAGTCCTAGTTGAACTCATGATAAGTGATCTATTTAAAAGAAAAATAATGAAAAAATATATTGGAGGGGATCTCACTCCCGCAATTTGTATGCTCCAATTCTAACACATCTTTGTGGTTTATCTAAAATGAAAAAAAAAATAAAAAATAAACCTTGCAGCAAACCACACAAAATAAGAAGAACAAGGAATAATAGGAGGGCCATGGCCCTTGGTATCAATGTAGCTTCATCCTTGATGAACATACTTCAATTTAAAAGTAAAACAATAAACGACAGGCAAATAAAATAGCAAGAAATGCACCGAACATAAAGAAAAGCAAGGCTAGAATATATGGAAGCATTCAGTCAAATAATTCTGGAAAGCATTAGCCAAATTGTTTCACACAACTGTATGTAATGAAAAAACTAGAAACCACAATCTCTTGATTAGAACTTAGAAGTCAGATGACATATCAGCATACAAACATGACCTCCACTTCAATCTGAACCCGAGCAACCTAAAGCTGTTTGTATTTTCTGAGCGGTGGTTCTTATAAGAGCGGTCAAATTCGCCACCGGCTCCTTCTGTAGCTTCTGTGGAGTCAAGTCCTCGCAAGCCAGTAGTTGGTAAACCACAGTAACAAGTGAACCAACTGACTTGGTCGTAGTAGCAGTACTGCTTGAAGCTCCAGTTCCATTGTCAGAGCGGCCATCAACGGATATCAATATACCTGAAGGAAGTATCTGTATGTTTGTTTTGTTTTCCTCACTGTTTATGGCTGAGTTGATGTCTGAGGAATGGATTGGGGCGTAGACCACAAGGGCCCCCAAGGAGTCTATGCAACTCTCTTGCAGAATTAACCTGTTCTGCTCATTTGGTATGAAAGGCTGCTTCACGGAAACCATTGAATTTGAGTTTGATTGAGCTCATTTCATGTAATGAAGTCAATGATCGAAACAACGAAGAGAGAAAAATGAGACCAACCCAATTTATTTGCGTGACTACACATTATGTGGGTCTAACAATGAATCATGCCGTGTTGTATTTTTAAATTACGTAATTCGTGTCATGTCACAATTTATTTAATTCTAAGTTCCTAAAGTTAGAAAATAGTATTATTGTATCATTGTTCTAACCTTATATGATGCAATAGTAGCTTAATATATGGATTATTTGTGTTTTTTTTTCTCCAAAAAGCAAATGATTTTGTTAAAACGAATGTATGAATTTTATGATTAAAGGAGATATTTTTTGGGCTAAACTTTCTCCATGTAGTGTCACAAGTGTAAAAGAGTTACCTGAATAAGAGAGATACAGTTCCCTGGATGAGTTCCCACTCGAATCTGTGCTATCTCATTAGTTTGGTTCCCATTAGACAGCACATCCCACTGTTAGGCAGGAGAAGAGAAATCTCAAACAGTTACTGATGATCATGTTGAATAATTTCGACACAAACATCAAAGGAAGATTGGTTAATTATACAAACCTGAGCTCGTAATCTCCCATCGTTAAAGAAATTAAAGAGGGTTTGGAGTGACTGAGGAAGCCACAGAGATGTTGCAGCACAAACAAACATACCAGGATGGCCTTCTTCATTGCTCTTGCGAATGGAGATTCGGATATCACTACTGTTCCCTTCTGATAGATTAGGGAATTCTGGTTCATCTGGCATGCTTAATATTGCACAAAAGTTCTTGACCATCCTTTGGGAAAGCCTCATTATTTTCATCCTACCTTCATGCACAGAAACCATGACTACTGGCTCAGCAAGAAAATAATAAAAAACTAATCTCTCTTTTTCATTGAGAGGACAGTAAATCACACTGCTAAATTATCCAGAAGAAAGGCTGAAGGGGAATTGCTCCGCGTTCCCTTTTTTATTTTTTCAGGTGTGTTTTGAACTGTGTTGTAATATCTGCATTTTCTTAGAAGTAAAATTTATTTATTACCAAAAAAGGGGTTAAAGAGGAATTGAAAACGGATCGAAAAATAGAATGTAGAAGGCAATGGTATGAGAGTTGAAAGTGAGTACCCCCTTCAGGTCCATGACTAGGTGTGGTTCTTGGCCCCATTGAGTATTTAATTCTCTCACACATCCTCTGAAGAGTAACAACCCACCGTTTGGCTCCATATGCTTGATGACTACGTACTAACTCGCTATAGAGAGGATGGTTTAGTGATTCATCGTCGGCTACAACATTTTCAACCCAAGTAACCTGCCAAATAAAGGGTGTGGGTGATGGAGCTTATACTTAATCTGATATAAAATACACCATTTGTCCGGAAAGGAATTAGAATCATGATGGACATGTTGACATATGGGAATTAACAGTAGATTTTATGACAACAATTAATGAAAATACACTACTATTATTAACACGATATATGAAAAGAAATGGTTAAGGCACATACGTGTAAACCCTAATTTTGGAAATTCTTCAAACTGCATTTATGTGTTACAAAGGAAGAGATGAGTAACTTCTGACGATTGCTAGCAGATGCATGCATGTACTGTTAACGTCGTATAACAAAAGACTGAGGCATGCATAGCTAGGCTATTACCATAAGCGGCACTGACTTTGAAGGTTGATCATGTCTTGCCTACAAAAAAAAAAAAAAAGATGTCTTCCATGGCATTTCCACTTCCTCAAGAATTCAGTTTCTGAATAGTACATAGTAACATCTATAATAATACGGATCAGGTGATGTAGCATCACGTGTACATATGAGCAATGAAGAGATCTTATACTGTTCAACACAAGAATGTTGTTAGAACAGTTTTTTAATTGTAAAAATTGAATTTTTGGTCGACTTTGAGCCTAAATTAAAGTGAGACCTGATTGTTATTTTGAATAAAAATTTGTGGATTCATATTCTACTCCGCGAGGAGAATAATATAGTATATTCACTTGCTCAAATCGAGTAAAAAATGAATGAGAAAATAGGCTCTAAAGTGACCCTTTTAAAATATGAAAATAAAGGAAGTGTAACGTGGGATGTGACACAAATCCCACATTGATTGAGAATGAAATTCAACATGGACATATATATGCCAAGTTTTCTCTATGGGATTGGGCCCTAAGTGGTACCACAGTTTTATGAGCAGAGCGAGCACCTACATGCCTTCGGTTCAACAACACATGCCGCCACGACCCGACCCGAACAGGTATGAGTGTGATTTAGACCAAGCTATCTTTTTTGGAGAAAATTTATTTAATAAATTAGGCGAGAATTTCTTAACCCGAAATTTAATTTATGTACTCGTTGGATCGCATTGGGTGGAGTTTGTTGCCTTCCTCCAGACCATTGTGCCTTATTATTCTAGGTTGTGTCTTTTAGATTGGTGATTGTCCGAAAAGTTACCAAGGTGTTTATAAATACCCACTTCATGCATGCATTCAGACGATTTTTCTTTTTTATTCATTCAGTCTGTTTTTGACATTAATCAGACATTAGAATATATTATTTTTGACATTAAGACAATGCATTTAGAGAGTACACAACACGTTTTTGGTTCGCTGGACGAGCAGAATGGAGTGCTACTTCTTTTCGTGTAAAGATTATTATATCCTGGGAGGCAGACGCTCGGTTTTCATAAGTACTGTGTGTGAGGGCAAAATCTGTCTTAAGGACATAGTATCAAACACTAGCCTTGATCTACCTAAAGTTCAATAACAATTCCTATTTATTTTTAGTATTTATTAGTAACTATATTAGTATTTATTTTTTGTTTGACAAACAGTTACGTGTAACTATTTGCTGTTACTATTTTGCTACCCTATTGTAACTCTTTCGTTTCTGTGTAACTATTTACTGTAACTGTTTTGTTATATTTTATATGGTTTAAATAAAAAATTTTAATAAGTGATTTTATAATATTTGGCACACCACAAACAACAGTTCCATAATCAGCGATAGTTGGGTTGGGAGTGGGGAATTGTCACCTAAGGTCTTGAAAAAGTCCTTCGTTGGGTTTAATCACTCTTAAACTATATAGACTCACTTCCAGTTTTAATTTCTTCACAAAGAGCTACTACATGGTGAGGAATGAGGATTAAGCTTAAAAAAATCAAAATCTAGAGGTCACAAAGAGTCTTGGGAGTTTTCTGAAAGTTTTGCTTTCATTGCAACAATTCAGCATTCCCCAGCCGGACAAAGCACATTGAACTGAGGCATCATTTCATCGAAGATTTTATGCAAAAGGCGGAACTACAACTTAATTTTGTCACCTCACAGGAACAACTGACATCCAGTAACACCATAGGAAAGATACAAATGGAAGTGATATTAGCGGACTCACCTTGGATTTCCCATTGTGAAGGTCTTGAATCATGCATCCTGAAGGAAGCCTCCAACAACGATAAGGGGATGTATACTCTTTGAAGCAATCATACGATACATCCATTATCACCCACGACTGTGGATCAAGTTGCAAACAATAGCGAAGAAAGAAGAATTCTCGAGGTGCCACAAGAGGTGACAGAACATGCAATTTTCCATACATCTGCATCAGCATGAGTTTTTGAGTTTATTAGTCTTTTTCACAACTAAATCTATGTAATAGAAATAAAAATGGAAAATATAGTTGCTACCAATTGCAAAGATCCCCCTAGGCTCGCTGTGTCAAGCTCTTCAATTGTTCTAGCTTTTGTAACAATGGGAGGGAAAAGCTCCACCCACTTATTCTGCAGTATGATTTCTATGAATGATCAGGGTTTCACTATTCCTCCATTAATGAAAAATTGATACAGCATATAGTTCAAGAATGGTCAAAGTATAGTCCAAAATGATCAAAAAATGAGGGTTATTAGAGCTAACCGAATCCAAAAACATCTCAAGCAGGCGTGTTGCAGACATTCTAACCAGACCAGAAACCTTGGATGATTCCATCCGAGCAAGCACGTTCTTAGAGGTATTGACTTTGGGGTATTTCCAATCATAAACACAATTATCAATAACATATCTCCCATCGATTCTGGACTTGAACCAAAATGGATAATCGATTTGCAAAAGTTTGAGCAATTCCGGCACTGCACTAACTGCAGTTTCAATCATGGGTGAGATGTCTTTCTCTTGTATCCCATTGAACTGGTTTGGTGATGGTGGACTCTTGGAATTTCCCAAGGCAATGTTGAGGTCAATGGAGGAGCCTCTCGTCCCTTGGAAGGAAATTTTTTCTTCCGGCACGGAGAGTAAAGATACATGGCCAGGTGAAAAAGATGGAATTTGAGTTACAGGTTTCCCCATTGCATTGGCAAGAACATTGTACACTTTTTCGAGCTATCATACAAAATAGGTCATTAAGAATGTAATTTTAGACATACCAGATAATTTTTTTTAGAATGTGACGCGTGAGATAGCATAATAACGGAGCATGATTTATAGACAAAATAATTTGGACAAGTCTGAGTGAGTACTAAAGAAAATTTTCGAGAATAAAAATAACCTCTTCTTTTAATTTATCATTTTCGACCTGCAGTCGATGTAGACTAGGCTGGTGCTCTTCTGCCTTGGAGGATGAAACTCGACATCCTTGACACTTTACCTTGTTAAGGGACTCTCTAAGCGCCAGGTTTTCGCGAGACACCCTCTCATTTTCGGCTCGGAGAGCACTCATATCTGCTTTACCACTCTGAGCCTGAAACATACAAGCAATTACAAACAACCATTGTTGAGGAATATAAAACTAAAAGACACACACAAAATCTACAAAATAAAGTTGGAAAAACACATAGTAGCACCTTTGTTAGGGTCCTTTTATTCTGAAACCAGTATTTGACCTGCACAGGCTCAAGTCCCAATTGCTTACTCAATTCAATCCGCTGGTTTTCACTTGGATGGGGGCATTCTTTGAAGAACCTTCATTACAAATGAACCAATTAATCCAAAGAAGAAATGAAGTAAGAAAAAACCAACATCATTTTACATATTCAACTGCACCCACCACAGGAAAAGGTGCTGAATAAAAACACAAGACAGCCAGAAAAGCAACCATTTACACCATAGGTGCCATAGAATTTGTAAGTACTCAAAAGTATTTACTTTAAAGGGAGAAAACTTGTGAGCAGTTATATTAGAAAAGGTAAAAAACAAAGGCACAAAGAAAAACTTTGGGTGAAAGGTGTGTCTATTCTCACTCCAAAACATTTATTGCCACTCAATTAAACCCCTTAATACTAGAAATATTATTCGCACCCCATCCTATATCCATCCAGTATGGTAAAGCCCACCTCAGCTTAAACAACTCGCTATACATGCCCCACTCTGCTTTGTTTTTAGCATATTTGAAAATTTAAAATAAACACTAATGCTATTGAAACATAATTAAATGACATAATTTGAGGACCCTTTAAACAAAAAGAAATGGTGGCCAGATCAGCCTCAAGTACCATTTTAATCTCCACGCCCAATGTTTCTTTTCCCGCTTCTCTTACGTAGTAGATTCAAAATGAACCCGACTCCATGCAACGTATAATCTCTCACTCCCACCATAACCGATGCCGGCATATTAATTATTAGATTTTGTATTTAAATCTTTATTAGTTATCTATCTTTATCTTGACGGGGTTGGTTTCTTAAAGAGAAGTGAATCAATAGAGATGGTAGGCTTATAAATATGAATTATAGAGGAAAAGTAATTTATGACAAAGTAAAGGAAGTGGATATGGCAGTGAATTGATTCCTGAAGAATCAATAAGTTTCTATACCTTTTGCTTTTGTCTTTTTCTTGAACATTCCAAAAACTAATAATAATATTGAACTGATTTTCTACGTGCAGACAAAGATGAATAGCACATAACTCTCTTAAGCTTTTTTGTACTTTCAAAATAGCATAGTAAAAAATGGTATCAATTAATTTTGCCAGTGGGAAAAACGGACTTTTTACTCTTTATAGTCTTTTTTTTTTTAAAAAAAAAAAAACAAACGGATTTATTGTTTAAATTGCTTGAATATACTTTTTATCTAAGTATATTTCATGTATGCAGTGGATTTAGTGGTTGTGGTGGGAGTGAAGATGATATACCCTTGGGTTGGGGCGAGAAAAGAAACCCTTTGGTTGATAAGATATTGTGACAAGAATAATTATTTTAGGGCTATATATGATTTTATGGGATGGGTTCGGAATAGAATGAGCTTAGTCGTCACTAGAGTGACGGTGTTTTTATCAGAGAATTTAATTGGGTGGGATTTTAGTCGAATCATAGTTATAGTACTTTCAAACTAAAAAATCTTAAAAGCCGCAATTAAAAATCCATACGATACAGATTGGACCAAAATGTATATAAAAAACAAACAAATGACAAGTGACACTGAAAGATCTATTAAACACAACAACCTAAACAATTAGTGTTTTTCATTATATATGCCCATGAAAAATTTATAGTAGCCATACACACACATAGAGAAAGAGAATAGATAAAAGAAACAAAAAAAAAACCACTAAGCTCTCATTTCGGAAATTAAATAAATCTATTATTCAAAAAAATAAAAAGAAATATGACAATGAAGGTGAACACACAAATGAAGGGCACATAGCAAATCTCAAGAGATTGCTCCACACAAAACACATAAATAGTCTCTAAATGAAAATGAATTGAAAGGAAAAATGACACTTGGCCACTAAGGAGAATAACTAATAAAAGTTTGTGCCGCCATAAAAATAATAAATAATAAATTTTGCGCCGTCATAAAAGGAATAAACAATAAATTTCACGCCGCCATAAAACGTATAAACAATAAATTTCGCACGGCCATTATTCTTATACTCAATAATTAGCAATAAATTCAAGGAAAAATAAGTCAAAATCTACGAGCTGCAAGCTGGACCAAACAGGAGTGACTAGATACTCTCATCCAATACCAAAATTGGATGTGCCATGATAACGTGGAGCAGGGTACCAAGGGTGAAACAACGAGCACAAATTCATATCAAAATTTACTTTTAAAGATCCAAAAAAGTCATATATCTATGAGAAAAAATTTCAGTTTGGGTATCAGTAACACATACTCTTCAAGCTGTTGAAGTTGTTCCGGAGAGTGGCGACGGAATGGTTTGTGGTCTTTTTGAGAACTAGAGCCTTCTTTGCCATCACCAGCAGAACTATTTCCTCCACACCCAAAAATCATCATTTTCTCTAACTAAATACTTGTTTCCCTAAGTGAAAGAACCAATGTTCACGTACACATCAACACAAGCTGTTCAGGGTTGCAAATGCATGAGAGAGAGAGAGAGAGGAGTTTCGAAAATTATGCACTAAAAGTAATTAATACTACTTAGACCTAATTTACTAACAGAACTTACTAACCTTATTTAGTGCATTGTTGGATTGGTACAAGTTTAAATGCTAAGTGAGGACCACTGTCAATCATAACGGTAGTTTCTCATAATGATGCACATCTACAAACAAAGGTGGCAATTGTAGTACATTTACCTCAAGGGATATACATTCAATCCAGGAGGATTGACCCTGTACTTACAAGATTAATCATATGAGTAACTGACAGAACATTTGAAACACTCTTAAGACGCAGATTGCAATGTGGTAAGCAGCAAGCTACAAAATATAACGGAGTAAATTTTATACCAAGTTATTCATTTTGAGTGATGTGATATAATTTTTATCATTGAATATTAACGGGACCTATTTATTTAATGGTAAAAACTGTACCACATTACAAAAACTTAGTAAAAGATTTTCGTCAACATGGTGTCGTTTAAAATTTAAACTACCAAATATGGGAGAACTAAATGCCAGGTCTTCTATGCTAATCTGTCATACAGATAGTTTTCATTTATCAGAAAGTCACTTCAGGAGGAAGGAGAAATTATCCCACCCTCGTCATTAATTGTTTTTCTTTTTTGGTGGCATCTCTCTCTCTCTCTCTCTCTCTCTGAATGCAAATAGGATAGATAATTTTCTTTTAATTTAGTGTCGAATTTTCTTCTTGGACATGAACATTTTACAAGAATTGGGTTGCACCCAGTAAAAACTTTGAGATTGGGTTGTTGATTGTAAATAGGGGTATCAATCATGTCATTTTTTGTGTTGTATCACTTTCGATTGTGTTATTTTCGTTTTTGGTCACTTTCGGTACATTTCAATATTCGTGTCAATAAAAAATTATTTGATTCTATAACAATTAATATAATACTATTTAAAAAATTAAAAATTATTATTTTTTATCCACAATATTTGCTAAATACTTATTTTCTATTTACAATACTTGTTAATCGTGTTAAACTTTAATTTGACACATTTATTACTCGTATCAACTAATCATGTTATTTTTGAATTTTATATCGAATTGAGTTTGTGTTAATGGAAAAACTTGATACCCTAACTGTAATTTAGAGAATGAGGCATTGTCTTAAAACCAAACTTTTGACTGTATTCTGTGTTCAAATATCTGCCAGGTCACCGTATTTTTGAATACATTTTTATAAGAGTAATGCTACTGACCAAAATTTAGGATCAAATTTAGAGCCTAAATGATATGACAGTTGATTATTTGAAGTTTTTATTGGAACCCAAATGACATAACACCAATCAAAGAAATCCAAGTCAACTACCATGTCATTTGGACTTCAAATTTGATTCCAAATTTTAGTCGGTCTAGCATTGTTATTTTTATAAAGTGTGTCGTTAAATGACACCGAGACAAAAGCATTATGAGCACCTTGAATACATGGTAGGTAAATTAGAGCCAGGTCAACAACTACTGTTTCGTGTCCACGTCATAAAAGATTTGATCCCCTATTTTTTTTGTTTTTAGATAAATGTTATTTAAATAAAAAAAATATTGATACTTTTTACTGACTTTTTTTATCACAATTATTGAATAGTTAATAAATTCTAATAAATTATTTTTTTTATTGAATTAGCCTTGTGCAAGAAGTCCATTTTTCGACGCGAAATATGGACTTTTGGTGACCGCAACTTGCCAATGCAAAATTGTTTGGTTTTTAAAACGATAAACAGGGGCGGCACAAAAATAGAAAAAAAAAAATTGGACTTTAGGCCTCATTTCTGTAGAAGGTTCCAAATCTTTAGATATATTAAATAGCCCATTAGAAAAATTAAATCCATAAATATTTTAAACCAATAAAAAGGTCTCATAAAAATACAAGCCTAATCAAAAAAAAAAAATTAGGAGAAATTGGAAGGAGTACACCAAATTAGAGTTAATTGTAAAAAAATGTAGAGTAAATAAGTCCTTAATTTTGATACTTATTTGTGTCCAAGTACATTATTTGAAAATTTTAGATTTTCTTGTGACCTTTATGTCCTCCCTTGATTCATGAGTATTTTTTTTGGAAAGTGGTTCTTTTTTCAAATTACATTTATGCATAAAACATCTCCTAGTTTTATAAGATTACTTTAATATTTCGTTTATTTATGTATTAAACATCTCCTAGTTTTAAGATATATCATTTTGTTTGAATTTCAAATTTTGAAACCCTGTCTTTATGGAGTTAATTGTAAAAAAATACACAAAAAAAATGTAGAGAAAAAAGTCCTTAATTTTAGTTCTTATTTGTGTCTAAGTACATTATTTGAAAATTTTAGATTATTCTTTAACATTTGTGCTCCCTTAATTCATGCGATCAATTTTTGAAAACTGATTTTTTTTTCAGATTATATGTATGTATTAAAAATCTCCTAATTTAATGGAAGATTTGATCCTTCCGTTTTTTTATGATAAATGTATGCATTAAAAATCTTCTAATTTAATGGAAGATTTGATTCTTTAATTCTTCCTAATTTAATGGAAGATTTGATCCTTCCATTTTTTTTAGGATAAATGTATGCATTAAAAATCTTTTAATTTAATAGAAAATTTGATTCTTTGATTCTTCCGTTTATTGTGAGGATAAATCAGTTGGTTTGCATTTTAAATTTTGTAATAGTATATTTTGTTATTTTAAATGTGATTATTCTGTTTTTTAATATGTGAACACTATATCAGTATAACAATAACAATGTAATAATGCATTTACACAAAATATTGTAATATTACATTTTATCAAACATATATTTGTATATCATGTCATTTAAACAGTTCATCTCTGTTTTGAATTTGTTACAACATTCACAAAACCACTTAACATTGTTTTTGTTATAGTGTATTGTTACACTGTCTTTGTTACACTGCAAGGAAAACACAGTCAACAGTTAAGAAATATGCATAGTATATTCACCCACAATGAATTAATATGGTAGAAACCCTATAGATGTTCAAGGAACAAAAAATTTCTGCCAAAAAAAACACAAAAATCAAAATAAATGTAATAATATTTTGATTTTGGATAACCCATGATGTCAATAAAAAAAAGTACATGGAATGATGAAGTTCAATGATCCAAATGCAATCATAAGCAAAGAGAAGATTGTGACTCTAAGATTTGTGTTTGATAAATCAAAGTTAGAAACTCTCAAGAAATCTACATGCTCTACTGTTGAATCAACAGTGATGGATCCGACCCGAGTTGAAGCCATCTTAGCTTTCATCTGGAGCCATTTCATGGAGGTTTCCAATGCCAAAACTAAAATGGATTCAAAATATCTATTTGTCGCAATTCATACAGTGAACTTGTGGCCTAAAATGAATCCACCCCTTTCTGATCATGCCTTTGGAAATCTATGGAGTTTTGCTCTTACAGTATCAAAGCTGGAGGAAGACAAAGATTATCATGATCTGGTTTTTAAGTTCAGGAATGCGATAAAGAAGATCAATGGAGATCTCACCAATCTTGAGTTTGTGCCGATGAAACCCAAATCCTATGTCAATTGAGGTACAGATCACAGTCGACACCCTACCCTTGAAGTTTTTTCTGAAAGACAAAAAGTTGTGAAGTTTTCTCTGAAGAAGATGAACTGGTTTTGTGAGGAAAAAAAAGTATAACGATACCCGAAGATGTAGAGATTTTCAAATTAATGTACCTAAATTTCAGCGGTAAAGATAAATGTATTTTCACAGTTTTTAGGAAAGATAATTTTACAAAATGGGCATTTACGTCTTTATATTTCAATAGTGTAATTTTTTCCAAAACATTTTTTTCTGTGTACTTTTTTATAATTATGTCTAATTTGGTGTACTGGCTTTCAAAGAATCCAAAATTTTAATTCAATCATTTAGGCCCATAATCCAACCTAAATATTAAAAACCAAAAACAAATTAGAAATTAAAAAGAAACTAATGGTAAAAACAAAATTATCAACTCAAAAATTAAATCATCTCTCTCTCTTTCTTTCTCTCGTAACAAGCCAAACACCTAACTTAACTAATCTAAAAAATAATCTCTTGATAAATTTTTTATTAGTAATAAAAAAATATAATAAAAAGTTTAGATGAAAATTTTGAAGATGAAAAAGTTGATAATAAAAAAGAAGATAACGACATAGAAAATGTCACGCCCCATTTTGGTCTCCCAAGGATGAAATGCGACTAAGTTTTTGACACACTTGTTTACATATGTAATTTGAATTAATAAAACACTAAATAATCTTACAGGTGCAACAACACCACCTATCACCCTAGCTATTAAACCTAATAGTAATACTTGACTCATAACTTGTTCCATATATAACACATGTATCATTTCTTTTTCCAAGTCATATACATTTACAAAATCCCACACCCATATAGTATACATTACAAAGTATGCTTGTTGAGTCTATTTACAATTATACACTATTAACCTGCTATAATATTCTTTCACTCAATATAACATACAACCCAACAAATAATTATACAAACACTCAACCTGTATCACTCACTCATTAAAACTAAATACATAATTAGTGGACATACAAATAGAGTAATATCACACCAACTTTGTTGGACTACTCCGGATTGAATTCAACTCCACGAGATAATATTCAACCGACTGGTCAGTGGACTGATCTGCAACTCTCTCGATAGTACATGAAAAAGAGAAATTATAGGGGTGTGAGTTAAACCACGCGCTCAGTGAGTATATATATTGTATATAAAATGAAAATGATAGTAATACACAGAAGTAAGTAGATACTACATAGACACATGTATCAAACAACAACATTAATCTAATTCCAAAAAATTCACAAGCCACAACACATCTATACTACCCTTCATCGGGTATTCGATCCCACATGGATCCATGTTTCCCGAACCTCCCGGAAACACCACAGTGCTAGCACACCACTGCACGCTCTGTGATTAGGTATCGACGTTCCTGTCTCAAATAGTGCGCCGCATTCCACAATACACAATACACAACACAAAGTATCATTTAATCATATAAGCACGTAACACATAATCCTGGAGAATTGCTATTAAATTATATCATTTACTGTCATCTTAAAATAACATTTTCAAAACATATACAAATATATACCCACCTCAAGTGTACAGATTTACGGGCCTTCGGACCTATCAATGGATCCCTTCGGTGTTCCTATATTTGTCTCAACATCGACTGTCTTATATGTTCCACCTAACACGTTTGTAATTACAATATCAATATGTTTATCACATTTAATAATTAATCATGCACTAATGCATGCAGGATGATTCAACCCAAAATGCCTCAATAACCCTGGTTACCGCACTGTCCATTCACACACTGGCTCATAAGATTTAGAGATCATATTTCCTCCTCAAATCTCCAAAATCTCTCACATTAATCACAATTAGAATTAAGTAGGTCAAACACATTGATCGGGGCCCCATTTTCACATATTTCGACCCCAAATCGTAAAAATCGCACTTCCAACATTTCATATATTTCGCACCGAATATTATATTCATTTGCATTATCACATCAAGCATCAATTAAGAATGTAGCATGCAAAATTTCGGGTCAATTGGATCAAAATTCACACATGTGATAATAATATTTATAAATCAGGCTTTTGGCGTTACCGATAACTATTTCCAACCTCTATCGCACTTTTCTTTTAAAACAGCCACACTTAAACTCACACACACATTTAATCATGCAAAACAACCTCTTAATTGAACCCTTAAACTCTCCATTCCACACCAACAAATTCCAATTTCAAACTAGCCTACTAAAAGCATTCCGAACTTCTCAAATGTTCGTTTTTTCACATTTTTCTCACACCCAGTTGAATACCCATTTGAAACCCATGCTTAACAGCCCTTTAATTATGTTTAATACACTTAATTAAACTCCCACAAAATCTATTTTGAAATTAAAATAAAACAGCCCACACACTAAAATGAACACACACACACATCCTTACCTTATCTTACTTTATTCTTCTTCTTTTCCCACCTTTTTCTTGCCTTCTCTCACTCTCGGTCTAGCATGGATTGCCCCCCTAAATCCTTTCATTTCCTTTTCTTTCCTTTCCTTTCCCTCTCGGTTTGAACTAGGAACACCCACCAAACTTGGTTTTTGTCTCTCTCTCTCTCTCTCATTCCTTGCTCTCGGCTCAAGAGACACACATATATTTTTTCCTCTCTCTCTTGCTCTCCCTCACTCGTGATTTCAGCAAAAACAGAACATACACACACACACACACACTAGTTCATGTTTTAAACACACACACACACACTTCTACACTTTAAATTTTACACACACTCCACACCTTCACAAGCACACACACACACACATGACATACACACACAACCACTTGACCTTTAATTTAACATGCCCACTTTATAATACTACACATGTAAGGATGACTCATCCTAATTGAGTAATTATGCTTGCCTCTCTCCAAGTTCTTAAGTGATTTCCAAATTGAACCCCTAATATTTTCCCAAATGAAATTTTTATACATTGGTCTCACTAATATTTCACTAACGCGGTCCACATACTTGATGTATGCTCATACATATCATGGCTATAAAGGGTTTACTTAAATTAACCCTTTAATAGTTCCACATAATTATAATTTAACCCATATAATTATGCTAATATGCATGCAATGCATGATCGGGTCTCACAACTCTCTCTTACTAATAAAATTTCATTCTCGAAATTATTAACCTGCACTAAACAAATGAGGATATTGAGCTCGCATACTCTCCTCAGTCTCCCAGGTTGCTTCATCTATTGAGTGACTACACCACAAAACCTTTATCAATGGTATCATCTTCACGCGTAATACTTTCTCCTTCCTACCCAAAATCTGAACCGGCTGCTCTACATAAGTCAAATTCTCAGCTAACTCCATCGGTTATGAAGTCAACACATGTGATCGGTCAGGCAAGTATTTTCGTACCATAGAAACATGAAACACATCATGCAACCTGGACAACTCCACTGGTAACTTCAATCGGTACACAATAGCTCCAATTCACTCCACAATGCTATACGGACCAATATACCTGGGAGCCAACTTTCCTTTCCTGCCAAATCGAATGACCCCTTTCCAAGGTGATACCCGTAGTAATACTCAATCACCTACCTCAAATTCCACGAGACATCGGCGATTGTCTGCATAACTTTTTTGCCTGCTCTGCGCACTCTATATTCTCTCCTGTATGGCTTTAATATGATCAGCAATCATCTACACAATCTCCGAACCCAATAACTTCCTCTTACCCACTTCACTCCAACACATTGGTGTCCTACACTTCTTGCCATACAAAGCTTCATATGGTGTCATCTCAATTGAACTCTGGTAGTTGTTATTATAAGCAAACTCAATTAAAGGCAAATAATCATTCCAGTTACCTCTAAGGTCTAGGACACAAGCTCTCAACATGTCCTCCAATGTCTGAATAGTACACTCTGTCTATCCATCTATTTGTAGGTGGAATATTGTACTAAACTTCAAAGTAGTGCCCAATGTCGTTTGTAAGGTAGGTCAAAACCTGGAAGTAAAACGTGGATACCTGTCAGAGATAATAGATACAGGTACACCATGTAGTGTAACAATCTCATCAATGTACAATCTAGCTAGCCTATCAAGAGAATATGACATCTTAACAGCTAGAATATGAGCAGACTTTGTCAATCTATTAACTATCACCCAAAAGGCCTAATGTCCTATCTGTGTACGGGGTAAACCATTCACAAAATTTATAGTGATATGCTCCCATTTTTATTTTGAAATTGGTAGGCTCTGTAATAACCCGGCTGGTCTTTGATGCTCAATTTTCACCTACTGACATACTAAACATCGAGCCACAAACTCAGTTATCTCTCATTTCATCTCAGGCCACCAATAATGCTCTTTCAGGTCACGATATAATTTTGTACTACTTGAATGCATAGCATATGCTGAACTATGTGCTTCCTCCAGAATCTTTCTTTTTAATCCTGCATTGTTAGATACACATAACTGAGAACCAAATAACAGAACATCAGCATTGTCAACAACAAAATCAGTCTTCACCCCAGTCTTCACTTTTTTCTTCAATTTCTCAATTTGGAGATCAAACTGTTGTGCCTCTCTGGTCCTATTTGCCAGCACTAGTCTCAAAGTCAGTGTAGCAAGTAAAGCTGTAATCTCTCCTATCCTCAATTGTACTCTAAAATATTTCAAACCCACAAATAACCCTTTCTGAATCACTGATAAAGTGGCCAATCTACTTGATGATTTTCGGCTCAAAACATCTGCCACAACATTTGTTTTTCCTGGCTGGTAATTAATATTGCAGTCATAATCCTTAATAAGCTCAATCCAGCATCGCTGCCTCAGGTTCAACTCTTTCTAGGTAAACAGATATTTCAAACTCTGGTGATCTGTATAAATTTCAGTATAAATACAATAGCTGCAAGCTCCAAATTATGGGTAGGATAATTGCACTCATGTGATTTCAGCTGTGTGGAG